GAGCAATAGACTCCACAGAAAACTACAGGTCAAAATAGTTTTATGGGAGGGATGACAGTGTTCTGTTGGCGAATAATTTAATGCTCCTGCTGCCTTTTTAATATTTGACTGCAGCTCCCTCATGTGAGACGGAGGCAGTGGATGCTCTGTGCGAGAGTGGGTGCAATGCAGCAGCTAGGTCAACCTGACTTTGACAAGAGAGAGGAGAGGGAGAGGGAGAGGGAGAGGAGAGAGAGAGAGAGAGAGAGAGAGAGAGAGAGAGAGAGAGAGAGATTCATTCTTCAGCACCTAGGCAAGTGCCAACACTCCCTGTCATGGTGGAACTTAGTGGAGGCCCATTGGGGTCTCAGCCTGCCCACATCAGCCACCTGCCCCCTGCCCTCTATCTTACAACCAGTCCAGAGGGTGGCACTGCCTGTCAGCTTCCTCCTCCTTAAGTCTTAGGGTGCCCTCAGACAGTCGCCATTTTCCAGGAAGGATTCAAGCACATACCAGAACCTTAGGCTTAGGCAATTAAAGTGGATTTTCCGGCTGGATGAAAAGCTCTCTCCCTTAGATGCTTAATTTGCACTGTTCTTTAAACTATTTTTAGATGTTTTTTATGGTATCTGTATCAGGAATGTCACAAACTCATGTTCTTAGGTTCCGCACTGATCTGGCTAAAACAGAAAAAGAGGAAGATTCCTGCATGACGCACAGTATTTTGCTAGACCCCTCACTGCCCCGAAGAAAGTCTGTGTAAGTGTTTGAGGCAGGGAACCAGTAATGCAAGGCACATTAAAGCAGGCACTAATTGTTTCTGCTCCTCTGAACCGGAGGTGGTGGGATTCTCTGGAAGGGAGGATTTTTATATAGATTCAGAAAGGGTTACGGCAGAGCCTTTAAAAGACTGTTTTCGAGATCACTGGCTTCAGTCTCTGGTAACCAACCACAAGGTTTAAGCATTGCCTGAGTGCAAAGCATGGCGTGGATCTCCGGAAATGGCGTTTAGATGTTTGTCTTATCTAAACGAGCTCAGGGCTGAGTAAACTGCTCAGAAGAGAGTGAGTAACCCTGACAAAGCAACCACCTTCTTATCACAGCCTCGAAGAGAACTGAACAGAATCAGGCATCAGAGACTTATCTTCCATATGATGTTAAAAAAAACAACCCAGGCCTGTCATACTGATTAGCGCCAACTAATTATTTCTAAGGCCCCCCTCTGCATCATTTTTCCAAGTACGCAGCTCAAACCGGCCACTTCCTGAGCTATTTGGGCACAGTGTCATTTGCCCAATGGTATTGTTTTGTACGTCTGGGAAAGCACACAACAAACCTTGGAAAAATTACTTTGCAACAACTGGAACAAGTAACAGGTTCTGGAACATTTGCTGAATTTCTGGATCACTCTGACTTCTGGTTTCAATGCAATGAACAAATCAGCTAGTGCTCTCTGGGCCAATCCCCATTCTATATGACTCCGTCTATATATTATAACCATCAACTTATTATAATCATCAACTTTTTATTTTATTTTATTTTTATTATTCATTTCATTTCTATACTGTTTTATATTTTTAAGAAAAAAATCTCAAAGTGTTTAGCAACACATTAAAACACCAAATAAAACAATCCAGAATGAAACATCTCCTATTTATGCCAATGCCACCTAACTGTGCATAAGGGGGGGCAGGCATTTGTGATGCAAATGAGCATTCTGATTGGTGAAAGGTTTATATTTTCCTTGCAAAGCCTTGTAGCAAGATCCCTCATGAAGGATCATGTGCAAAACTGGCCTTTGGTGTGCTGAGATGCTCCAGACCTTAGGTGCGCAGCCAGTCCTACAAAGCAAGGATACAACACTCCTTCAAGCAAACACTGGATATCATCCATTGCAGGTCAATGCCTAATGAAAGTCCCACCTCCTAAATCCTGGGTGGCTAACCTGTTAGGCTCCAGCTCCTATCAACTCCAGCCAATGTGGTCTATGGCCTGATATGATGGGACTTGGAACTCAACAACAGGTTGGCTGCCTCTGTCCTAATGCTTCTGTTGCACTAAATGGATAAGAAACTAGGGACAACTTTGCCAGGTCAGATGTCCATCAAGCCCAGCATCCCACTTCCCGTAGTAGGGATACTATTAGGAAGTCTTTGAGCAGAGCATGAAGGTAATAAATAGCTGTCCTTCACTGTTGTTCCCCACCTTCCCACCTGCAATGGGAATTCAGTATCATGCTGCATCTGTTCACGGAGATTCCATATAGCCGTCATGGTCATCGCCAGACCTATCTTCTGCAAATTTCCCTAACCATCTAGTCATTTAACTGGTGACCATCATCACACCTTGTGGTCGTGAACTCCACTCATTAGTTTGTCACTGAAAAGCTATAGCCTGTTCTGTACCTTGAAGCCTGCTCCAGCAGACCTCTAGTGCAAAAATAAGCAGAAACCCTCGCATCGCAACAGGTCGCTCCGGCCTGATTCACACACATAACGGAATGCAGCACAATGGTATAACCCCAATAGAGCTGGTGCTTGCTGTATTTCATTTGGCTTAAGGAGATAAGTGCTTTACTAATTAGAGGGTACCATAGTTATGCGCTGTGCACTGATTAGAAATAAGTTCTATCCTACCCTGGAGAACCTGCAGTCCAAATTCTGACATATCTTGATAAGGGATGTTAAAGCCCTTCTAGAAGAGAAGATGGACACGGCAATGTGATCTCACGGTCATTCTGCTTGTTATTTCCTAAATCTTGCAAGTTTTATTTTTTTCTTTTTTCTTATTAAGAGTCCTACTCCTCAGGACCTTCTCTAAGAGCTAAGCAACATGATCCACAGAATCACATGGTGCAACTCTTGCCATGGTGTGCTAGTTCAGGCTATACTGGTGTATGATTAGGTTTGACTGCTCCCCACCCCCACACATATACATTTTCTGGCTTTAGAAACCAAGCACATCAAGGAAAGAGAAAGGTTATGGCTTAGCTCAGGCACTATACAACCTGTGATCCATCAATTCTTCCTGAGAGTCCTCCAGTTTGGCCTTGAGCCAAACCACCACCTGGTTTGCATGCATGCAGTTTGATGAGCCCGCTGGTAGGCTTTTGATTTAGATACCCATTATGTTCAGCTTGGTTCAACATCTCCAAATTATGACCCAAACGTCTTTGCATCACATTCAGGCAGTTTTACTAGGAAGTGCTAACTCTTTTTAAAAATCTATCTTGTTAAACCAACAATACAATCCAACCAGCTAAACAAAATAGGACATTAGCTTTGGAAGCTGATTTTTCCAGCAACCACACCTTCATTTGGAATCTTTCATGCCATCTTTGGAACCCAAACACCCACCCTATCCTTTAGATATCAAATTATAAACAATTATTTTGAGGTCCAAATAGTCCCCTGCTGTGCTTCAAGCCACAATTCACAATACGCAGGTTTGGATCCTTACATTCACATATGAAATAACATGGGGAAGGGTGGGCAATGTTAAATCCAAATCAGCTTCCTGGCTGTCCACCCCTCTCTCTCATTTTCCACTTTGCTTCTTTTCTGAAGTACCTATTGGACTGGTCAGCATCTCTTATGTCCACATCCAGCATTGTGGAGCTCCTCCAATATATGCTGCCAGGATATAATATTATACCATAAAGGGAATCTTTGCACCTTGTTCAAATAGCTCTTGTCATTTGCATATGAAAATCTTCCCTTCTAAGAATGTAAATAATAATTGAGAGAGAAGACGAAAAAGAAAAAGGCAGGTTTGTGGATGGAGGGGAGGTTGTGTTGAGAGGGAAAGAGAAATGAAAATTTTGTTTGCAAAAATTCTGGACTGAATTAACAACAGATGATGTTTACACAGAAGCTTAGCCAAAGGAGCTGTGCACAGCTCAGCACCTTCAGCACACAAACTTCCCAATGATCAAGCAGCTCCTCTGCATTGTTAAAAGTGCCTGTAGGACAAGAATCAGAGAGAGGGGCCCACAGCCAGCAAATAAATTCTTAATACTGGAGCCCATTTTCCACTTGGAATGCTTGGCAGTCGACAGAGGCTGCTATGGGTCACAAAACTCCTACCAACTCACGTCCATACGAGTTTTATTCTGATCAGATGAGACTGCAGGAGCATAAAGGGCAAGTGTCTGGCCTTTGTGAGTTGGTCAGATATTTGCATCCTGAGGAGAATTCAAACAAAACTTGCCCAAGTGGTCATTTCAAGGCCACATAGCTTTATGTGGCAAGCCGCCAGTTCAGACCCTCCAAGTGTCCCTATATTGCAAGGACAGTCCCAAATTTACAGAAGCCGTCTCGGTTTCAGATTTGATACTGGAATGCCCTGCTTTTCCTTACGATGTCCCTATTTTCATCGGGAGAAATGTTGGAGGCTATGCCAGCTAAGAACCAGAAAAGAGCCATCAAGTAGTGAACTCTATGGTTGGCCTGCTGAGGGAAGTTATCCTCACGATACACGTTATTTTCAACCATGAATGTTGTCGGCCCTGAGTAACAACACCAGAGCTGTGTGGCACGAGAAGGAATCAAGGGGGCGGGCACAGAATGCAAAATGTTAATGTGGGAACAAGGCTCTATGTGGAACTTTAATTTGGGGTTGGGACAGAGAATTTTGCACAGATTGACACTTATCACTGAAAGGAGAGCAAAGACAGGTTTCATAGGAGAGTACTTTACTTTTAAATATGTATTTCCCCCCCCCCCCTTCCAATACAGCAGAGCAACAAGGTGGGGAAACCCAGCTCAGATATGAAAGATAAATTCTTTAAAAAACAGCAACAGACTCCACAAAAGATACGGGTGGGGAAAGAAAACAGAGATCTGATTAAAGCTCATGAATCAGCACGGCACCAGAAGACACTATCTCTAAACCGGAGGCCCTTTCCTTTCCCCTGCATCGTTTTCTCCCCGTTTCTACAGCAACAACACCCCCTTTCCCCTCCAACTCTACCCACCCTCATGCCCATGTCCAGATTGAGGTTGATAATGGGGAGCACTCACACTTGGGGTTTGCAGGATGAAGGCCTCAGTTCGTTCGATTAGAAAAACTGTTGCTTCATCACTTTTGGGCTCACGGCTCTTCCCCGTTTCTTTGTCAGTTTTCTTCACCTGCCTATTTCTGGTTTGGTGGGGTGGAGGGCTCCCTTGGTTCTTGCCGTTTGTGGAAGCAGGTAAATGGGAACTGAAAGGGTTCCTTGAGATAAGAGGGCAGAGAGCTTAACAAGATCTGATGTTTGGCCTGCCAAGCACACTTCTAGAACATTCTTGCCACTGGCTTTATGACATCAGTGGCTGGCTCCACCCAACTGAATTTGTAGCTTGTCCTTAAAAAAAACTTCTTATAATTAACCCCCTTCTCCTTAAGCAAAGCTCTTCTCAGAACACACCTGCTGAAATTAATGAAGCTTAAGTTAGATACATCTGTTAACTTCATTGGGCCTACTTTCTATAGGACTAGTATTGGATACAACCTGTTGATTTTTCTTTTGGGTCTGGGTTGTACTTGTGAAGAAGTGAGCAGGCGAATCTGGTAGCTTTTGAAAGCAACGGAAAACAAGCTGTGAAGTAAAAGGCTGTATTCTGTATCTCCTCCCCTGCAATCATATTTCAAGATAATATCTTTTTCAACATTACTTAAAATACAGCAGTTAGATATGTTCAACCAATCAACATAAAAAGCTCAAAAAGCCCCTTCTTATGTAAGCATGGCTGTGGGTCTCCTCAAACCCATCCATTTTGAGAGAATGCAGAAATCCATCTACTTAATTTTATTTGTAACAATCCCTTTATAAACTCGATAGCTTTTCGAGACAGATGAATGCCAGTAAGTGAACTGTTTTTTGGTGTAAGTTTTTCTCTCTCTGCGTTCTTACCACCTTTTTGACCTCTCATACTACTTCACAACACTCCAGAACTGTGTATTTTACAATAGCTTCACTTTCACCGCCCTCTGATTTATGTTTACCGTATGCTGTCATAGTACTGCAGCTCGGGGAATGTGGCCCTCTAGGCTTCTCTCTCTGGCCCTCAAGGCTCTCCTCACTGGCCCCACTTTGATTGCGTTTCCCTGGTTTGAATGTGCCCTTGAGCTCCGTCAATGCTTCTTCCTTGCTTGGATGCAGGACAGAGACGAGTGTGCAGAAATAAATCTTGTTGCTCCCCTCACTTGCTTATTGCCTAGCCCACCATAGACATGTTGCCTAGAAGGGAAGGTGGTGCTCAGCTCTGGAAAAGGTCCTACCCCCACCGATCAAGAACCCATTGTCTATGAATGTGGCTTTTGTTGTCTTCCCATTTCACTCTTACGGGGTTTTCACCATTCTTGGATTGCCCAATCCTGGATCAACTCATTGTTTGTTTTGTTTTTTAAATCCCTTCAGTCCTTGTCCAAAGAAGTAACAGACTTGCTGTTGCTTCTCCCTCTCAACGCGCCGATTTCATCATTCAATACTTTACTCAGTGAAATTTTTCTTTTTTAAATCCCTTCAGTCTTGTCAAGAAGTACAGACTTGCTGCTTCCTCCTCCTCACGCATCATCAATACTTTACTCAGTGAAATTTCACATTTCATTTCCTGTGTTCTCTCCCATTGATGGCTGCTTTTGCCTCTACTTTTCATCATAGGCTGGTGCTTATTGATAAAGCCCTGTTACACAGGGAATAATACTATTTCCCCATCTGATCCTAAATTAATGTAAGAAATAGCCTTTATCAGGTTTCATCATTATTATTTTTCTTCCTAAATATGGCTCTCTTCATTTTCACACACACTTGTACCTCTCCTCAAGCTCACAACAGTAACAAATGAGTAAGGTATTTCCTTGCCTAATATATATTGGAGACTTCTCAGGGCAGTGAGAAAATCTGGACAAATGTTTATACAACAGTAGAAATATTAGCAAATATTGCAATGGTTCTGGCCGTGCAGAAGGCCTTGTTACTGCTTATACTCCACAGAATTAAAAGGGCACTTTCCAGGCTTCATTTTTCTTGGCATTAATGTGAAAATGCTCTGTGTATATGCTTGGGTCGGGCGCTCAACAAATAAGCTGTTCAAAAGGGGACATATACAAACCTTATGAAAATAACTTGGAGGATCTCGGGTATTCCTGCCAAGCCCAACTTCAGCCTCATGTCTGATAGCTTAAGGCCTTCTTTCCATTGGCTTAGGGCCACCACAGAGTAACTTTATAATCTGCATGTTATCTAGCCCAGCTGTTGGTGTTTGCCTACACATGGGCAGGCCTTATTTGTGAGCCAGGGCTGCGGCGATCCCAGGGCTGCAACAGGATGGACGCCTCACGTTACAGTTCAGGTACTTTGACAGAATTCCAGGGCTTGAGGGGGCCTCAGTTCCTGCAGATTGGATTCGCAGTGCATGGGGAAAGGTGAAGGTGGAAGGTAAAAGAGGCACCATAGCCCTGGCTAACATATACACCAATGTGAGATGCAAAGAAGGACTGGAAACATGAAGCGGAACATTTCCTGAGGTGTTGCCATCTTTGCATTTGTGGGTGAAACTATGAGGTTGAAACTATGGAAGCTACTAAAGCAAAACCATATTCTGCCTTGCCCACACCTAGGGGGTATAAAAAAGGGGTGGGAGGCCCAGGGGTCAAATGTGGTTCTCCAAGCTTCTCTGTTTGACCCTTGGGATTCTTCCTGGCCCACATTCCTCACTTCCCTTGCTTTGCACCTTCCTTTTTGCCTGGCTAGAATGTGTCCCTGAACTCTGATAATGCCCCCTGCTTCTCTGGATGAAAGATAGGGGGTGTGTAAGTGCACAGAAGCAACTCTAATGTACAAAGAGAAAAATTACATTTGCTGCTCCACCTGCTATAGCCTCTGGCCCTGCCCACCACTGACACGTGGCTTCTGGAAAGTTGCCCTGAATAGCACCACCAGTTTTCAATGCACCGAAGAATGCTGCTCAACTTTTAAATAACCCCATATCTTGCAATATCTTCTGAAATCTACTGAAATCGAGTTACACCCCTCTATCTGGATAGATAGATATAGAAGATAGATAGATATAGATGATAGATAGATAGATGATGGATAGATAGATAGATAGATAGATAGATAGATAGATAGATAGATGATAGATGTTGGCCACGGTCTGCCTCAGGAAACAATGGAGGAGTGTGCCTTTGGGGGTGAGGTCAAGCTGTTGGAAGGTTGCAGCACCTGCTGTGGCTGACGTGGGAGAGACATGTTTTGTTGCAGCTGGGGCAGATGAAGGCACCCAGTTATGTCGCTACAGATGCACCATGACGTTTCTTCTCTCTGTGCTCCTCCCAGCAGACATTCCTGCTCTGGTCGCTGCTATGGATACATGACTTGACTGCCTCTCTCCAGGCGATGTGGTCTGCAAGGGACACACACACACACACACACACACACACACACACAGAATGTATGTATGTATGTATGTGTATATAGTATGTATACTATCCATCTATATAGTATGTATGTATGTATACACACACACACACACACACACACACACCTTTAACCAGCAAACAAAAGGAGAGACTTTGTATTAGGAGTGCCTCCAGCAAGCCTAATGTGCAAGTCTTCATTCATTCATTCATTCATTCATTTAACTTTGTATACTACCCTTCATCCAAGATCTCAGTTGTAAGGACTTCAGTACTCCTCAAGTGGGGAGGAGCTTTGCGGCAAGGAGTTTTTAGTGTGCAAGCCCACACACACACACACACACACAGAGAGAGAGAGAGAGAGAGAGAGAGAGAGGAGAGAGAGAGAGAGAGACTCAGATTTGTGCACCTGCTTAGGAGTGGAGACTTTGCCCCACATTTTCTGTAGTGGGAAAAGAAACCTGAGGGTTTTGGGTTCTTTTACCTGACAGCTTCGTACAATCCAGCCAGTGTAAGGTATAATGGAGCCTTCCCCCCTCGCCACCCCTTGCTTCTCAGATCTCAGGAATATGTGCCAGAAGCCTGTCAACTTGTTAAAAGTACATTAATGCAAATACCAGAGCTTTCAGTTATGTTTATGCTAATAGAAAGCCTCCTGCTCTGTGACAGGCCCGAGTGAAGACTCAGGAACAGGAAAATTAATTCCAGCTGTTGAAATTGATTTTATTTTTATTTTTTATATAAAAAAACCACTAGCTTAATAATAAATAAAAACACCAACACACACACAATTCCAAAATTCAGAACAAAACAAAACTGGAAGTAAGTGTGCGGGGTATGCACTAAATCATGTTTACATAAATAAAAGCCGAACAGGTTCTCCTCTTGGGAAGAAACCTTCCAAATTCAATCAAGGGTGGTTAGAAGAAAGCTCCGGCCTGTTATCAGGTTGTAAAAGTGTAGATTAACCTGAAAAAAAGAATTTGCTGGGTTGCTCAGCCTGCATTTGGGAAAGAAAAGGCTAGCTTTTCATTTTTCTTTGTAGGAGCATTTTGTTTTAGATCCCTTGCATCTAATCCATTGACAGGGAGACCAAATCCTAGCTGCTGTGGAACAGACCAATATTTTAGAGACAGATAATGTTTGCATATCACAAGTTTCTCAACAATTCCTCTGCCCACCCTTTTCTCTCTCTTAATATATTGGCCTCTGTGGGGGTGAGACAGGAGTTAAGTGGCCAGGTCCCTTATTTCAGCTACAGCCTCTGATCAGTGTCTGGGTGAAATGAAATCTTCCGAGCTTGATATGCTTTATCTAGGCTAGCCCGTGTTCACATTCAGGCATCTATCACTCTCGATAACTTCTGCAATAACACTGTGGAAAATTCACTGGGATTTAGTTTTTAGGCGAGTGCTGCACAATAAACTAAATCAAGTGCCAAACAGGATAACTGCTATGCGAACTCTCACTGTGCATGTTGTGATGTGACTCTTTGGAGGACCAGAGGGTCCCAAGGTCCCTTGCATAAGGCAATGTTCCAATCCTAAATATTTTGTCTAATTAACAACAACAACAATTTTATTATTTATACCCCACCCATCTGGCTGGGTTTTCCCAACCACTCTAGGCGGCTCCCAACAGAGGACTGAAAACAGAATAAAACTTCAAACATTAAAAACTTCCCTAAGGGAAGGGTTAGAGTAGGGATAGCCAATATGGTGCCCACCTGTCAGAAGCTGGAGTCAAGCAAAGGTCGTCAATAAAAAGCATGGTGTCAGTCAAGCTAACGCTTAAAGAAACCAGAACAGTGCAGCCCTAGTGATTCTAGCAACTCTTCCCAGTAGGTCTTGCCCCAATGAGGCAGTTGAGAGGACTGAAGGCCCCCATCTTCCCACTGCTCTCTAAGGCTCCTCCTCTCCAGGGTCTTTC